TAGGTAGTAAATATGTAGTCATACAGCCTCAACGCACAAACACAACAATCGTTAATTCGGCGACACGGGATGACGTGTTAGGTTAAAATCGAACGTAGCTCTCCCCTTCGGGTTCAGTTGCGGCTTTCGCCCAACGGATTCCTTGTAAAACATTCTTTAGAATCCTGCCTGCGATCATCAGCCGCTTAACCTCTCACTTTCAGTGACTTCACACCGACGGGCGGAAGCCGACGTCTTACGCGTATTTGCAGGTCACCGCGCGCAGTGTACGTCCGACTAGAAGGTTCACGGTGACGTCGGCTGGGGCCAACCAGATTGTCACCTGAATAATCATTGAAAACGGCATCTTCTCTCGAGGCTTCCCACCTCGTCGTCGACGAGACTCCAAACCCTCCCTGTTACTGAGGTTTACCGGCTTGTTGGCGACAAGACTACTTCTTTGCTGGTATCTAGCGTTCCACATCCCTTGTCTTTCTAACCTCTTAACTCTAACAGTCGATACTTCTACAAGACATGCTTCTAGAGGTTCGACAGCAAGCACAATCTCGCCCCCACAGGGAATTATATTGAGTGCACGCGTGTCTTGGATATAAAAAATTAAGCACTGTATAATCTACCTCTTTTGCTGTATCACCGAGCCATTCTGAATGGATCTCTGTATTTACGCTGGTTCCTTATTTATATACTTGATGAAACGGACGCTAAATCTTCTACAACGCTGCTCTATAACGCATGCTCACTTTTCAAATTGGGCTCTTTGAGCAACAACGGACAGAGGCGAAGACCATCTCCGAACCAGTCATCTGTTCCCCTTACCTTGAACGGGAATAATCCGGTTAGAAGGGCCAAGGTCAAGAGGGGAAAACCTTTTCTCCACTGCACGTGCTACGGAATGCAACAAATCGTGCGACTCGAACGCGAAGCAACTCGCCGATACCCTGCGGTACGGGGAGAGACGACAGAAATCGACATTTTCGTGCCTACATTAGTACCTGCTCTTCACGAATTGCTTCCCCTCGCGCCGACTCGTTTGCTGTTCTCAAATCTGCCACCACGAGAGGAACTCTTCTAAGAACGTGATAACTCCATTGAGATTCAGAACCGGTGCTTTTAGCAAGCACTAGGCCAAGATACCTTCCGTCCAGCGGTGTGCCTGGGCACGTCTGTACTAGATTGCGCACTAAAATTGGCCCGAAGAGCAAAGCAAGTCGCCCTCCTACGGAAGCGGCTAGGGATTACGTCTAAATGACACGATGCGACTTCCTAAGTGGAATAGGCCTCGTAGCATGCGTCCTCTGCTCTTTGAACCAGATGGAAGCGCGAAGCGCATTTAGCCTATCCAGTTGGCCAAGAGTGCGCACGCAGTCCTAACCCCGAACTTGAATGATAGTCATTATCACGTTTCCTTTAGAAAATGCCCCCCCCCGTGACGGCTGAAGTTTAAAGCCAGCAGAACGAGGAGCGTGGAAGGAGAAAGTTCGTGTCATGGTAGGTGGCTGAGGTGGTTTCCACACAACAGACATCTTACGAGTGTCAAATAGCAGTAATAGACGATCTGACTTCGACACTGTAAAGCATGCTCGCCGACACATGGCTCGCTGACACCCTCTTCGCCCATACTCATCTTATACAATTTTTCGAAAGAAATTTCTCGATTTCGTAGTACTTTGTATTTTGTCTTACAATAAATGAGCAGAACACCACAGTGAGGGTGCACGTGCCCTTCTGTGTTGTGCCACCATAGCATATCACCGTAACATAGGCGATCCGAGGTCTAGTCCGTTCATATGATAAATTTGTATACTCTACCCCGTATTTGATTGCTATTAGACCCGATATAGCGGATCACTCGCGTACCCGGTTGTACTACACCATCTTACTCATATACGGCCTCATAATCAGATTGGGGCTCGACTGAACTGAAAGATGAATAGGGACCAGGTCATTTCACGGGAGCACGAACTGCTTATTAAACGTCGTCAGGTTCCCTAGAGTTGCTGAATCGTATCAGATGTTGGTAGAAATGATCGCCAAGCCGAACATGCTGTTGTGATTGAGTTTATCTACCTACTTCCTGCAATGAAACTGAAGTCAAAACGACTACACACGAGTAGTCGGCTGGAAGAACTGCGGCAGCAAGACATCGTCCCCAGATTTGTATTCTGGGCTTAGGAGCTTATGATACGCTTAGCAAATGTGATCAGCCCACTCATCAGGCGTAGAAGTAGCAATCGTTTTGCGGTATGGATATAGCAAGAACTGCGGAATCAGTGGCATCAACTGCAGTAGCATCGTCAAGAAGTAAGCGGGATAGTACGTGTAACGAGGCACAGAAGACTACGTACTGGTCAACCTGTACGGAGTTTATTATCACTGACTGTAGTGATAGTCAGTGCCCAGATAGGTGTAGAACTACACAGAGGAAGGTAGAACGACGAAGGTGAAAGACTCTAGTCGTCGAAAAGTAAAACTGTTATTAATATAAGTGAGTCCTATACCTCTTGTATCTCTGTTTGTCCTGACTTAGTTATACTAATCTAACTATTTGTATGATGACGTCAACTCACCACCCATTGCGCGCGTCTAGCAGCGATTGGTGGGTTGATATCATCACGATATCAACCAATGAGTAGACCCCTCGGTCATCTTCAACAATATTATCATGCTCTGTGACATGGTTGAAAGAATATTCAACGTAATATTCTTTATCGTCATTTTATCCTTAGTGACAATATCATGTAACGGGGTAGCCCGTTACAGTACGGCAAAGGCATCTATCTCACCCCCCCCCCAATGTTGTTTAATCTGTCGATCAAACAGAAGATCAAACAACGGGGAGTTGTGGGGAGCTCGCGTCGATGTAATTGACTAGATAAATTGATGAAAGTGTATTAAACCAATCCTTGAGTACGTTTGCATGTCGATCCTAGCTCAAGTCGACATGCCGACAGCAATAAATGACGCACTCGATGCAAGCTGAAGAAGAGGTTGACCGTATTTCTATATCGTGAACAGTTGACAGATTCCATGTAATCGGTGGCGACGGCCTTGGAGTAAAGATGTGTCACGAGGTTCATCGATAGTGCCCTTGAGCGCTTGGAAGCGCTACCCATTACGATCGCACATTGCACCTCGTAAATGGTGATGTAAGAGACTGTACCGGCATCGTTGTCGATACCAAACTATTGAGTCCCAGAGAGGCTGATGACTGGTAGCGCAACATTAACAACACACTGTATGTGTCCAAGGTCTCCGATAAGGTACCACCTCGGGACTCTTGCGATAACCCACGTATGGTCGTCGCCAAACATTGTAGTCGTCGCGCCGTGCTGTCCCTTACAACGCGCTTCTATCTTCCTCATGAAGGCATGACTACGCTCGACTACCTCAGCAGGTAGGCAGATAAGTTGGTATTGCTGTTCCATCGTTCATGTCCTCTTTAACGCAATGCCTCCCCCACGCACGTTTACAACCACTCATTTGGCAGTGGCTCAGCCCTTGTCTTGCACGGCTCTTCAAGCTCTTCTCTTGCTGTTGTCACATGTCAACACGTAGCATGTCCGTGGCTGTTTCCTCGCTACTTTTCCACGACATGGGATTGGCTGCAGTTCGTGAACGAAAATCACGTGCGTCACTCGCTTCAGTTGCTAGCACTCGACACGCGGAATTCGAGTGTGACCAAGCCAGAGGTTCTGCTGGAGCTGCCACTTGCTAGTCAGGTGCACACACACCATAGTCGGGATTTGGCCTTACTGACGCTGGCAGATTCTGCTGCTACCAAGAGCTGGCATCAGGCAGAACACGAGTTTAACGTGCAGGCGCTGTCGCTCGACACAGCGCCTTGTGAACAAGGCGATGACGTGGTCTTCTTTGGACATCGCCGAGTGGAAAATGAAGTGGACGAAAGCTACCAGGTTCCTATGACAGTGGCAGGACAATTCGTCGGACGGAGCAGTAGTGGACAGGCTTTTGCTCGGAGTCAAGAGCTCTTAGAAGAAGGAATGTGTGGTGGAGCTGTCGTTCGAGCAAAAATGCACAAGTGTGTGGGTATCGTGGAAGGCATCGTGCCGATGAGCAATGAAGAAGATGATAAAGAACCGTCAACACACGACCGAAAAGAACGTGAAGCGTGGCAAATGCGGCGAGCGTTGGCAGGCCACGTGGCGCTCATTCCGTCACGTGACGTGAAGGAGTTTATTGACGAGCCGGGCAACTTATTGCTAACAGGTATGGAGGTGCCCCCGTACATGTGAACGCGAAGGTACGCTGCATGCAGTTTCCGCTCGTTCGGATCAAGAGTTGTCTCAATATTCGAGTTGGTAGAAGTACGCCAATGCACTTTGGTGTGGGTAGCTACGCTTATATGCTGACAAAGTCTGTGTGGTGTTCGAGACAGCTTTCTTGTTTACGAGGTAGAGCAGACAGAAGCATCCGGAAATTGAGTTGGACTGTGTAGTCTAGCGCGGAACCGAGTTTTGGACCAACGCGACAAAATGCAATACCGTGGATCTCATCACCGCGAGTTTTGTTGTCGTGCCATTATATATCTTCGACGCCTTGGCGCGCAGCCCGTCTAGAGTCTTGTATAGTGTCGAAAAACTACATGCGAGCTTGTGGTTGTGCATTTTATCATGAACTTATCGCAAGAAGATCTGTCTGCGGGTGACCATAGTACAAACCTGATACCTCACTCCACCACATTCGTCACAAAGGAGTTTTTGCAGCCTGAACAAATGAACGACACACAACTAACTGTCCGGAACACGCAATGAGTGTCTTTCACACGATGAAATTGCGGCGAAATTGGATGTAAAATGGTAGGCAGCGACGCATTTACCTTGCAGTCATTCGATGAAACTCGTGTAAGACTTTCAGCAAGAGGAAAAGATTGGTAGATTGGGGCAAAGTGAACGCTGCAAATTTTGGCAATTGTAAGAAGTTTGCAGAAGTGACTTGAAGTGAACAGCGTGACGCGGCATGTATTGGCCAAAATCTCGTGAAACGTCGTCATGTGACAGGTTTACCGTGGTGTGGGTATTTTCCAACACAAGGCGCTTGACTAATCCGCCAATGCCTTACACACCGACAGTACAGAGTCGATTACACGTAGCTGGCTGGTACTTAATCCACCATGCGAGTAAGCCCACCTTTTTAACCTCTTGGTTTTCCATTATTCAATGATGCACCGTTTATTGGAAAGGTCCTGTCTACCCATCACTGTCTATTCAAAACTACTTGCGCTCTGCAGTCTCAAACACTTGTGCGCTCTCGTCTTCACATGTGTTTGCAACTGTTTCTACTGTCGCTGTCGGTTCAACCATGAACCGGCCAAATTGGGCGTTGCAAAAACATGCTATTACGGACGTTTCTTCATGTGTAGAAGTTGTGAGCGAGATTACAGCTACAGCTACTAGGCGTACAGAAATTGTCACTGAGCCACGGGACAGTAATTTCTATCCCCAATGAGGTGTCGTTACCAGGCACGGATCATCATTCTGGCAACCCTTCAGCTCATATTCGATATACTCGACGCCCATGTGGCGCAAAATTGCTCCAAAACATGTACATAAGCAGGTTCTTTCTCTCTAAATTCTACCTGAGAAGGTACAGTCGAAAGGCTCACCATCGACCAATCGAGAGTGACTCGCGTCACGCGACTGGATCGAGTTGGTAAAATATGAGAGCGTGCTCCGGTGCCCAGCAAATAGGGTACGTAGCTACACGCCCTTAACATAGCGGGTGTTCCAAGCCATAAGTAGTGACACTAGAGCAGATGATCATACCTCGCGTTACAAGCTCAAGTATCAATGACTTCACTTCCTTTCATCTGTGCCCATTGTTTATGCGACGAATGTCTTGCTATGTGGCAAACGACGGCAAGTTTACTAGGGAAACCCAATACGATAATTTGCTTCTATTAGACGCTTGTAGCATTTGCTGATCCGTAGGGGTTTTCCGCTGCACTTGATGGTGCCCTGTACATTTCCATCGCCTTACTCGCTGCTGGACAAAGTCGAAAACAAGACAGCTTGATCTTGATGCATCTTGCAAGGATGGCCCGCCGGTGGTCTTCCTTTTCCGAACGCATTCGATGCATATTGTGGAAGCCACCCCGAGTACGTTCTTACTACCGCGTTTTTTCTTCGCTCATACTATTATTGGGGATTGTTATCGTCCTTCCAACGTGTGCTACACTCTGAACATTAGCAAGGAATATAATACACAATGACGTCAACTTAGTCCCAAGATCGACTCAGCGAAACAAGTCCTCAGATGCCTCTCACGGGCGCACGAGTCAACATATGCTCTCGAATTGTTGCTCTATAAGCCGTCAGCGTCGCCTGTACTGGTCACTTGCTTGAAAGTTTGTCAAGGCGAACTACTCTATCATGTTTACCTTCCGAACAACGATACTCGGTATCTCTGCGCAAACGAACTAGAACAATGCACATGTGTTTTGTTCTTGAGTCAACTCCAGTGACACAAGATTCACGTCGTTACGCTCGACAGATAGCACTTGCGTCAATCTCAGGTCTGATGAACGGCACAAGGGGGTAGCTAGTAAACGGTTCTTTGTGGGCATCATCGCGCGGCAAATCAGCAACTCATGCTCAAGCACATTGTTGTAAAACTCTTGTGAGCATGACAGCAATGCAAAGAACGATCGACAATTTGTCAACGATCTCAATGTAAGTGTGCGAGTGTTAACTGTTGAAGACTCAGGTTACCAACGGCCGCTAAACTTCGAATATTGACCTTGCGATGAAAGGGGTCGGTTTCCACATTTAAGGCTGTATCGAGACGACTGTTCTACCACTTACGTCGTCTTCCTCTACTCGATGTTTATTGAAAGGTCATGTCGCAGTGCCATGCAGCGATGATCGCACGGTTTACTTGTCGCGCTCACACAGGCGGTCTTTATATTGATATTCAGTCGATGTGGTCGGACGAGGTAATAAGCTCATGCAAGATGTCGGCTTCATAGCCAGCTGGATGCGTGTTTCACTTATATCCGGCTCCTGCCACAGACGAAACAAAGCAAGAGACGCATACATTACGACATGACAGCACCTTGGCGATGATAAATTATGGTCCTGGTGGTAGAAGTAGCCGTTGTAGTAGTGATAGCAACGACGAAAGCGCCACTAGTCGACATCGGATAATATAGCAGATGCCCTATCAGGTTACGCGGCATGATGAGGTGTCAAGTTGGCGCCAGGTGATGCCTTGTGCTGAGAGTTCAAGCTCTCGGTATTGATGTTTTCTTCTTGGCAGTACGATCAATCGTTTGATTGTGCAAACATCACCGTGAGCCTGAGACGAAGATGTGCCTGATTCGATAACCACTTCATTCAGCTAACAGGACTACGAAAAGTATTATATGCTGCGCGGCGAAAAATGATGAAAAATGACAGTCGATTGTCGAAAAAAATTTGTCAAACGCTCCACGAGCTTTGACTGGTATCATAAGAGAATCTTAACATACAAATTGATAACCCAACATGGTCATACTGCCAATACGATTGTGATATGCCCACATCCGATGTGTATACCTGATTGCTCCGATTGTTTCCATAAGCCGCTCGACACGTGCTGCGTACTCGCCAGCAAAGGTATCACTTTTCTAGGCAAACTTAAGACGCCTTGCTTGGTCTCGTCCGGGCAATAATTCCGCCGTTTCGTGCTTTATGAAACCAACCTATCTGCTCGTTGTCAATTTGTTTACTGATATCAATCAAGTGTTGCTACGTTCTTCACGCAAATCGATCGCGTCGGATAACCAACCTCCTCAGGTCGTCAAGAGCTGGCCCGATCATAAAAATATTGATCGGTTTAGTCGAAGACTGTATATAGTTTCCAACGAGCCTTCGAGTCAATGAAGTGTTTGTACAACGAATCATCCGATGTTACCAATAATTATGTCTGGACAACCATGTGCTCTCGGTGGCCGATTCGTCGACGCTAGTCACTTCCAGCAGCTGGGCCTTCTCGATTTAAAAAAAACAAAGAAGTCGTCCGTTCATCGAGCTTCTTAGCAATACAAGAATCTTCTTCTCCATAACGGAGCTTGTTGGAATGTTGGAAATGGGCGCAAGGGTACGTAAAGGCGATCCGAGTGTTCGGCCGGTGACTTGGGGTGTTATTTGGAAACATGATGTCACAAACTCGCTGTGCGCACAAGATGGACGCAGAGTGACAAGCTGGATGAGTGATTCGAGTAGGGCTAGAATGCGTGCGAAATGGATTACTGGAGCAGAGAGCTTTGGGGATCATGGCAGAAAAGAGTGAACTAGTCAGGAAATACAACAGTATCTTATTGTTCACCTAACGCTTCCTTCTCGCAACACGCATCTTGCCAACAGGTTATGAGCCCAATGGCCGCAACCACCGAACCGACTATGAAGACACCAGGGGGTGTTTCGCGAGCCGCGCTGGGCGTGGCTTGCCAGCGCGTGCGCCTACCGCACCCGTAGTCGTCAACGATGGACCCGCTCGCGAGCGGGCTGCGAGACGATAAGATTCTCGCCGCGTTCGCCGCACTCACCGATCGACTGGCGAGCCTCGAGTCGTCGCAGAGAGTGCGAGACGAGGAGGAGCGCATGCTCGGAGCCGTGGAGAGCGGACTGTTCGCCTCGAAGCCCGGCGCCAACATGCGCGGCCGACTGATGACGATCGACGCGATCGGAGACGCGGTGGAGAAGGCACCGGTGCCGCGTGGGTACCAGCGCGCGACTGATCTTGGCGCGTCGCGATTCGCATCGCTCGAGCCACCTCGCGCGCGCAGCGCCTCAGCTGCAGCAGCGCGCACCAGCGCATGTGCCACATCCACAGGAGTATACAACGCTACCGCCGCCGCAACCAGTCGCTCCGCCACAAGCGTATGTGCTACCGGTCCTCAACGGCTATGGGATGCCGTCGGCAAGCCAGCGGAAGTTGAACATACGCAAGTTCGATGGTACAGAGCTTTACCGCGGACTCGGGAGTGGATTCTTTGATTGGGGGCGTACGTTTCTGCGCGCGGTGAGCCTCGCGGAAGCGTCGTGTGGTTTCGGATGGACCGAAGACGTCAAGGTCGACCTGCTTGGGCACTTTCTCGCCGGCACGGCTGAGAGGTAATATCACAAGCAGGTCGATACCTGGTGGACGCTATCAACCACACTGGAGTACATCATGGAGCAGCTCCTGCGCACGTTCAAGACATAAATCACGGCAAGCCAGGCGATGAAGTTATTCATGTCCAAGAAGGACGCAC